CAAGTATAGAGTACGTGGAATTCAGTGAAAGGTGATGCTGTAGACTGGAAATCAGAAAGGAGAATTGGACTCCGACAAAGTGCTATATTTGAATGTCTCTGTGCAAAATGATGTGACATTACTGGAATATAGCTGTATTAGGATAGCTTCAGAAACCTTTTATTCTAAGTACAGTGATCAAGGAGGCATGAACTGGAAGGCTGAGATAAATTTGTGAAGTACACATGCAGAAATGTTAAATATTTTACAGAAACTAAAATATTTGCTATTGTGTCAGAATATTTGTTCTAACTGCTGTGAATTACAGAACTTTATATGATTCCATCATTGTATTTCTGCTCTTCCTCTTTCCAGCTTCAAGCAATTCCACAAAACTTTATGTAGCCTATTGCTATAAAAACATTTCCCCTTCTGCATGCACAAGGCAGGAGATGGAAAGAAGGATCAAAAACCAGGATCCACCAAATGGTATAGGTATGGCTTGGTCAGGAATTTTACTTGTGGACCTAGCACCATTTTCTGTAGCTGAGATACACCTGGCTTTGCTTCTAATTACACCTGTTACTTGAGATTCATAAATAAAATAACCTATTCGAAGTCAAAGAATGTTTTACTTCTCTTTCTTCTCCCTCTGCAGATCCTTATGTGCAACACTGTGTGATTTGTAGGTAATTGTATTGGGAGAGTTTTTTCAAATGTTATTTCTGATGAAAATCACCATGCAAGGATTTAAAATGCATCTGCTGAAAAGAAATGCAGTAGTAAATACTCTGTAGCAACAGTATAAGCCAACATATCCCATGACAGTGACATCTCCCATAAGAAATGTGTTAGTCACAGGAGTTTGAGAAAGTTGTTTTGGGTTTTTTTTGTAGTTGCCTCTGAAGTGTTGCATTTTGGTATTCCATTAAATTAGTGGTTTAATGGCATATGCCCATATGGCTTATAGGTGCATGAAATAATTCACTTTGTTTACAGTACCTAGTACTGAGGAAGTCCTTTTTTGGGTTGTAAAACCCGATAGGGAATTTCTGATAATTATATGTTTGAATTTTTGTGTGCCATTCTCTATTCATGTAAAAATCATCTTAACAGTTTTTAAAGGTTATATTTACTCTTCATTCTGAGCTTGGCTCATTCATATGGAGGGCTGATATAATGCTGTGAACAAAAACATAACTTTTCAGTGTTCTATATAGGTCTTAGTGAGTTTGCCTAACATTTAAAATGTTACTAAGATCCCCTAAGTGGACAAGAATTTCACCCTTTATCTCCACAAAGAAATGTGTGTAAATCAATGAGATTTTTTGCAAAGTGGACTATTTCAATTCTTAATCTTTCTTACTGGCTATCAATTACAGGAAATATAGATTACTTTTTTATTTCTTTAGAGGGACTCTGATTTTTTTATGATTTATAGAGCAAATCTAACTTTAAAAGGACAGTGGATGTGATCGCATTTGGAAAGGTTAGGTAAAAATTTGCACGCTGCGCCATTGTTTGCATAGGGAGATGGTTGCACATTTACCTGCAGAATGGTGCGGAGTCAAGTGTAAGAGAACAGGCACTCGGTACATTTAACAAATGAAGACAAAGATGAGATTATACGGTCTCATGGTCTGGAAAATAGTGTACAATAAAGATGGCTTGCTTAAGATATTAGAAAGGAAAATTAGTTCCTTTTTTCACTTTGGTGAATTACACCTTCCTGAGATACTGAAGTTGTTTCTTTCCACTGAATGAAAAACTAGAAACTAAGGGCTTTTCTTTGTGCAGAGCTGTTGTAATGTATCTAATTAGATATGAGCAAAATATTCTACACGCGAACATTTTTTTCACACTGTGCACCATTAGTCCTTCACACAGATTGAGTGATAATAGCTTCTCAGTATCTGTTATCCTAAAACTCCAAAGTGATTGAGTAGCTGTGTGTTCAGTGTGCAATTTTAGCAATGGTGCTAATTGCTTTGAGATCAAACAGTAGTGTTTTGTTGAAACACCAGGCTGTTGCCAGAGCCTACCTCTACAAGTGCAAAGTATGTGTGAAAGAATTTGAGTTACAGCCTGGGTGAACAAGGCTGTAGCTGATGCTGAGAATTCATTGCTGTCAAATCTGTGGTTAGAGTGTACTGTCCATTTATGACTTTGAGAAAGCATTTAGCAAAAAAGTAGGAGAGAATATTGTTCAACAAAGTGTACTTAGAGTATGGCCAGTGCAAACTTTAATTGAGTTTTCAGCTCTACTTAATGCATATTAATTTATTTTAGTAGTGTTTGTGTGTACATTATTTGAAGAGAGAATGCAATTTTGAACTGAAGATTGTTGCTACTAATTATGCCCAAATTACTAGTTCAGGTGGAGAGTTGGGAAATGTCATTCAGTGTTTCCATTGATTTCCAAGCCATAAGTCAAATCTCTTTTACTAAAAATACTTAGAAAGACTTGGAATCTTCCAAGGTCATTTACTTTTTCAGGAGCTACTGCTAGCATCTTCTTATCATCCTTTTGCTGTCACCTGTTGAATACTAGTCCCTTGTCTTTACAGATAATGTATTTTTATTTAAATTCAGATTAAAATTAGCAGAGTAGCATGAGGGTGAATCTTAAGCTCAGTTTCTGATTTTTTTTTAATCAGAAAAATAAGCTGCATTAATATTTGAACTTACACATACAGCAAGGTATAATCCTGTTAACTGGCTCTATTTAGTGTTACATAAAGATGTCTTAGTCTTTTGCTGGTCTTTGCTTTCTGTATTGCTGACCCTGCTTGAAAGAGTAAAAGCTAAGCAGTGCTTCATCACTGATGTGCCAGTGAAACGAGTTCTCAGTACATTGAGCTTTATACTATAAATAGAAACAGATAATGCTAAGGTTTATTTATGGTTTCTTGGACATATCCTTAATGGGCTTAAGTAATAGAACTTAAAAAAAAAAGTTAATATAGTTCGTAGTTACGGCAGCAGCATCAGATTGCTTTTTTCAGTTACTCTGGTGTCATTCTATAAATGACCTCTCATGTGCAATACATGAAAGTTAAGAGAATTGTTGGATCCAGCGTGTTTGGCTTTGTAAGTTAGCATTACCAGACATTCAGTTGGTGTGTTTTGACTTAAGTGGCATGTGTCCTGACTTACAGTGCTGTTTTCCTAAAAGCATCTTTTTCTGCATCATGCAAGTGAATTTCCTTGTAGCCATACTGAATAATGTGTGCTACTTTTTGCCTTGTACTTCTATGTCACTAAAAAACAGCCTTACTGTTCCCTACTAGATCTTTACACATAGACTGTGAATGTTTGGGGATTTGGAAGTTGTTCAATTAGTCCTTTTTAACTAGTTCTAGTATAAATGTCTGGGACAGCAGAAACTGCTTTTCTTTAAACCTCTTATTTCACTTTACATTTTACTTCATAATTACTGAGCTATTCTGTGGTTAATAGTCTGAGTTCAATAGGCTTTGTTTCTATTGTTCTTTGTTTCCCCCACCAAGAAAGTCATGCACATCACATAGATAATTGTTTTATAAGGTTAACTACTCCAGGTTTTCAGAGTATTGCAAGATTTCATATGTATATTTCAACAGTAATTAATGCTGGAAGTTTGTTCTTTGCCTATGTGTTATACTTAAGGCAGTGGAATAGTGATACAGAGCAATGAAGGAAATGTTATATTTTTTTAACTTTGAGAATGAAATTTTATTTTAGACTTATTAGCCTTGTCTGTACTAGTAAATGGGCCTGAACTGTTGACAGCAAGACTTGCTAGAAAAGAACGTACTATATCTAGATGATTGAACTCCTTTATTGTCAAGAACTGCACAGCTACATCTAGCTGCTTTGGGGAATGATGCTTTGACTATGTTAACCACCAGACTTCTCCTGATATTTGTTTGGTGTTAGCTTGCTAAATAGCAGTCTGGCAGGTCACCCTTAGACACAGATGATCAAGCACCAGTGCCCAGGAGCACTTTCAGGACACATTTAGTACACTAAATAGATGTAGCTTTTAAAGATGCAGAAAAGAAGCTTCCCTCTAATATACTTAATGGAAGTATATGTAAATGCATCATTACAATGTAAAGCATAGGTTTTGAGTTTAAATTTATTACATATTTAAATATTTTGATTACTCCAGACTTGACCTAGTGATGGTGTTTAAAGTGATGCCTGGGCTTCTCTACGTAGGACAAAGTATTAGGAATGTATTCTGTACTGGAGAAATATTTTTTCATATGGTAGAAGGGAATTAGTAAAACTATGGACTTAATGATGAGCAGTTTGTAATCCAAGTCCCTAAAAAAGAAATTAAAAGACAATGATAATTTTGGTTTTATGTAAATACTTTTGTACAGTGATTTGTACATTACAGTTAATTGAAAGCATAGAAGAGCTAATTTTGGATAAGCTGTGAGCGTGGTGGAGTTTCTTGATGTGACTATATGAATGTTTTACTTTGACTCATCTACTTTTTTCTGCTTGCAGACACAGTTTTCATTAAAGAGCAAGGGATTGGAGTGGACAAGTTGAGGTCTTTCCCTGAATAGAGTTTCACTTTGCTGCAAATAAAATACCAAGTTATGGCTGACTAGTCCTAAAATGAGTTGTACTTGTCATATATATATAGACATTATAATTACCACTGGTTTTTTCAGTGGTAAAATGAGTAGCAACCACGTAAACACTTATTAAATATCTACTTTGAGAAAATCTTAAGCCATTCTTCTTTTTTCAGTCATAAAACTAAAAAGTCAGAACAGTAATTTTCATGGATTCCCTTTCATTGCCCAAAGGGAAAGTACTGTGCAGTTAAGGCAGAGTTTTAACAATTGATTGTTTTATGTCTTTTAGTGGTCTTGAGATTATACAAAAAAATGTGAGGGGTCTCACTGATGGCTATGTACGTGTTGATAATCACACACATGATTAGTTAATTCAGTGTGTGACTTGTCTTACTGCAGAAATACTGAGTGAACTGACATATGATCACTGTTTTTCCCCAATAGTGTGCTGGAGAGGAGAATTGGGTGGACAGTCGGACTATTTATGTCGGGCATCGTGAACCACCTCCAGGCACTGAAGCATACATTCCACAGAGATTTCCAGATAACCGAATAGTCTCATCAAAGGTAGTAGTGTTTTCTTTCATTTACATAAATCAGCCTAAGGTATTCTTTGTGTGTTCATTTATTTCCTTCAAGATTTTTCCCATGCTTCCTGTATATTTTTCCTTTATGATGACCAGCAAAGGTGTAATGAAGATATCTGAAGTTTCTACCACAAGAAATAACTGCCAAATTGTCTGTAACATGAACAGGAATAGAATGACTAATCCATTGTTTACTGTAGTACATGGTGAAGTCTTAGAGTGATACTGTGGTTTTGCACAAAGGAGTAAGAAAGCAATTTTCATTTGAGGCAACCCTGGAGTAAAGAAAATCTTCCCAAGGAAAGATCATATCCTTTGTAATCTAAAGCTGTAGCTTAACGTACTAGAAATAGTGTGATCAATATAAGTGCTCAACAGATGAAGCTACCTCCACAATAACAATGCCATTCCCTTCAAAAGCTCATATTGGCAAAACCCCATAGAAATAATATTCTTTGTTATACACTTACAAGTGAATTATTCTTAAACTCTTAGTATAGTGATACATCTGTGCCCTTGAGAAACCTTCCAGTTATTCCTCAGTTTAACTAGTAAACCCTTCTGTAAGCTTCAGCAGCTTTCTGTGAGCAGTTGAGTTGCTGATACTCTCCACCTGTTTAGACTGGCTGGCTTGCTTTAGCCAAAGGTTTGTACTGCAATGGCATGGAAAACTGAACATTTGCAGCTTATTGTTTGGCTAATGCCCCAAGAACTTCAGGTTTTTAATGTGCTTAGATTTTAATCTTCATGAGCACACACCCTCAACTTATTATGAAATAATGAATTCAGAAGAATAGCTTCTTTATCAGGACAATTCTTTTTGAACAGTGGCTCAGATCCACAGACTCATTTTAAGAACCTTAGTGGCATTGTGATCTCAAGGAGCTGAATACTTACCTTTGTGGATCTGAACGCTTGCCAGCCATTAATATAATAGCAAAGCTGTAATAAAACCCACATTTTTTTCAAACTGTGTCTCATTTGTTATGTGAAATTTTGAATTTTACTGTCTTCCTTTCCTACTATTTTTACTGTCTTCTTTCTGTACTTCATTCAAAGGCGGTATAATAACAAACAGCGTAGTATCTAGGCATCCTTAGGTAAAATGTTCGAAAGGTAACACAGTAAATAATCTAGATGGAATACCGTCAAACTAGTACAGTGGGAAATCCTGTGCTCTACACATTAATTTGTATTGCTTCTTGGATTATTGAAGAGTAAATACATTTTATGCAAATGTTTGTACTCGTGTGACACTGTTCTTATTTTTTCATGTTGTACATCTCATCTGGGACACAAGTAAATAAGGCCATTGAAGTTAACTGCGGATACTTTTTTAAATAAAAACATCCTACTCAACTCTGCAAGATGTTTGACATATTTTTGTGATGGTGAAATTAGTGGAAGTTTTAAGTTGCTGTGCTTTGCAGAGTGAGATTTTTAAGTATAACTTAAACCTGGATTGAGCTAAGGAGCCCTGCTAGCAATTCGTAAATATGTATGACTTCAACTAGTTCAGGAAAGAGACTTCACTAGGTTTTTATCTGGATATAAAGCATGTTCAGTTAAATGTTTTAAATGGTGAACTCTTTAGTTGTGAACCACATCTGTAAGTAGTTTTCCATTAACAGAAGACTATTAGTGGATATTCTTGTGTACAATACTTCTCAAATTTTCTGTGTATTGATTAAACTTCTCTCAAAAAATAAAAGGTCATCTAATGTAGTGGTATTTCAGGAGGGAGCGGAGTTCACATAAATGCTTTATAACATTGAACAGTTCCTTAGACTGCTGAAAGCTCAGTTTTAATGACAGTTGTCTTTATATGAGAACTCTCCATGCTGTCTTGCCTGTACTGTCCCTTTCAAGTGAACTCTACTATTCACATGCTCCATCCCAAACAGCCTGGGTAAAGCACCATTGTGACTTGACTTGCTTTCATTCTGGTCTGTAAGCTAGCTAGCTCTTAACCTTTCAACGTGTCCTTGTCACTGGCTCCCTTATGAACACTCTGGAGGGGCACCTACTGCAGTTTAGGAACCACAGACGTAAGCTCCTGAAAAATGATCAAATGTACAAAATTAAGATGGGAAATCCATAACTGTTAGTGTAAAATAGATAACATGCATGCAAGCACACTGTGTGATGTCACCTCAACTGTGAAGGATATTTCCTTTTGTCTTTCATCAGTAAGACAGCCAGTAACTTTCAGCTATGCTTTTATAGGTCTTCAGTGCTTATACGAGAAAGTATGTGATTGCCCTTCAAGGATGAGGGACTCTGAAGTTCCAAGTCCAGATTTTACCAATTTAAGACCAACTCAATTTCTAAGAAAGGTAGTTTAAAACCATGGGAGAACCTCATCAGTTAACCTATCTGTATGCTGTTGTACTAACAAATATCCTGTCATAAAGCCCTGAATAAGATGGCAGCTTGAAATAACCAGGGAAGTCTTAAGGTTCATATTATTTCCTTCCAAAGGTAAACTTTACTGTGCATTACCAGAGGTTTCCTGGTGTCAGCAAGATAATTTTATTCCAGTACAGAGGGATATTTCTTGTATATTGTGGTGTCACTGTGGAATGTGATTAATGCTTTGTCTGCTTAATGAAAAATGGTATCTAGACAGACCTTGACCAGACAAAAATGCTCTTTTGATTTGATGTGTTAATTCAATTCTGATTTTGACAATGCCTTACAAAAAGTGTGTGTTGAAATAATAAAATACAAAAATTTATGTCTTTTGGATTGTACATGCAGTTTGCTATGTTCTAGAGGTAGTGACCTTTGTGAGGTGGATCCTTATGCTGATCTAACTTTTAGCTACTTCAGCTGCCATGGGTGTTAGCCTTTCAAGTAGCTGTTGTGTGCCCTTCATTGAATTTTTCATAAGACAGTGATGCAGCATGGCAAAATATCAACTGGTAGAAAGTCTTAGCACTTCAAATGAGAAGCAAAAAGTAATTGAATTGGCGGGGAGTTCGCTTTTTTCTTTAAAAATTATTCACATTTTGCAATTATTTACTGATTAGTAGAACTGCTATGTCAAAAGGAAAGTAAGTTAAATTACGCAGCAGTAGCAGTTAGCAGAACTTGCTGAGAAACAACTTTTCCTTCTGAAATAGGATAACAAAAGGGTTTTATTTTTTGAGACAGGTAAATTACAAAATTTCTTAATGTGAAACTTCCTTAAGGTCCAAGCTTCATGGTTTTGTGCTGGGTGTATCCCAGTCAGTATGCTAAACAGTATCTATATGTGCTTTGCAGTATGTGCATGTGCCTGGCCAGCTAAGAATTGTCAAGGGTCCATCTAGCGCAATATGTTGTCACCAGAAGTAGATGCTTAGGGAAGAATGCAAGAACAAGTAAGCATAGAGTGATACTTCCCCCAAATACTCTCTTAATATTTGCTGCTCTGTGACTTAGACATTTGTGATCCAAAAGTGGTGATTTTGTATTCAGTAATTGCTTAATAGATTTCTCCTCTGTGAATGTCTTCAGTACTTTTTGAGACCATGTAAATTTTCAGAATACATAGTTAAGGCACAGTTAAACTGTAGAAACATTTGCCAAAAGAAACTATGAACCTTTGTTTCGAAACTCCTACTTAATAATTTCAGTTCATGTTCCAAATCCTTGAATCTGAGAACAACCATTATCCCCTGTCCGTCTTGATTCTGTTAGTGATCTTCTGCCATATTTCTTTCCAGGCTGAGTAACCTTAGTCTGTTCAGTAATTGCTTGTGTGGAAGCTAGTCCATACCTTTGCCACGATTTGATCTGTACCTTTTCCCAAGCCAGCTGTAGAGTTCTGAAGATGCAGAAATGCACAGAGCATTCAATGTGTAGGCAAACTATAGATTTGTGCAGTGGCACAGAGATATTTTTAGCTTTTTATTCGTTTGTTAATAATTTCTAACATTCAAATTCCTTTTCCTGGCGCTGATCTGATACCTTTATAGATCTGCTATGCTTCAAGGATCTGATTCATTTGTAGACAAAAGTAGGTACTTGCATCTCCTGTTCTAGCTGAATCAGTGAACTGAAGACTGATTGGATGTGTACATTTGTCTCTTGAACAGAGGGGAAGGTCATATAGAAAATAAATCTTTTGAGGCAACAATATGGAGTTCTGTAAGAACATGTTTAATTACTTCTGCTTACTGCTTTTGGCATACAACCTAAAGAATGGACCACCAGGAAAAAAAAATAAATTCAGAGATGCCAAGATAGGAATAGCCTTTTGAATTAGAGATCAGAGACTTCCTGATGTGTCAGACAGCCAACAAACTTAGAAACCCCGGGTACATGCTGCAAGAGTACTGATTACTTTTTCCATACCACCCATAGAGAAAGCTGGGTTAGAGAAACTTAAAAATCTTTTACTCTTCTGTTCACTCAGTGGGTAATCAATACGTAGTGTTTTGCCTTGATGATCCTGTCTTGCTGCAAACTTTTAGTGTCATAGTTTCACAAGGAGAAATTTTTACAGCTACAAAAGATACTTGTGCCTGGGTCACTAATATAACTGGAAGCAGTGGGGCCTAAGCTCCCTGAAGATGATATGGAAGAGTAGCAGGATAGGACTCTTAAGTGAAATGCAAGACTGAATCTACAGCGGATGCAGAACTGTTACTTCAAGAATTTGCACTAAAGCGAAGAGCTTTCATTCAAATAAATTTGATATGAAATTATGAAATGTTGACTTGTTGCTTTATTGCCTTTGCTTCCTATTAAAGAAGCAATAAGGTGAACTTGGATGAGGAAACATTACTACTATTAACTCCTGCTTTGAAATGCTATACAGCTATATTCGTGGACCAGAAGGGTTCCCAGTTCTGTTTTACAGATAATACTATCTGCTGTTGTCTGCATGGTTCCTTGGGACTTCTCATCAAACACTGATCCAAACATTGATTTGTATGACAGTAGCTGGAAATAATAATGCTGCATGTTAAGAATCCTATAAATTGGAAGGGA